TCATAGCAGCCCGTGCTCGGAGGATGCGCGTCTGCTCGGAGCGGCTCAGACTCCCTCAGGCCGCGGCCGCCGGACACTGCGCGCCGCGGCCCCTGCGCTAGCCTTTGACAGCGCGGGCGCCGCCTCCGCCCATTGGTGCCGGCGTGAATTGAATGGGCCAATAGGCGCAGAGAGGCGGGGCCTGCGCTGCGGGTGCCGGGAGCGTGCCCGGGCGTCCACCCGGGTCCGTGCCCGCTGAGCCTGTGCGTTTCAAAGTCAAACAACGCTCTTCGTCCCGACTGTGCAGCGTAGGAGGAGTCGGTCCGCTGAATCCTCACCTAGCAGCGCCTCGAGGTTGCAGATAGGACGAGTCCCCGGATGGTCACGGTCCTTTGAGGAAGGCAGACGAGACAAAAAAGTGTGCTCTGGCTGCGCCTGTTGTAGGACAACGGAGAGCACGAGTATTTTCCTCTCGCCAACGTGACCCCATTTCGAGCCTCATCTCTGCTTCGCAGATGACAAGCTCGGAAATTATGTTTCCACGTTTGCTGAGCTCGCAGACGGGAACTGGAGTCTGTTTTCTATGCCTGCATACTACACAATTATCAGCTGCGAGAGAGAGAGAGAGAGAGAGAGAGAGAACGAGGAAAGAGGCGCTCCCTTCTGCAGGTTGTGTATACTCCGCCTGTGAAGATTAAAAGCATTTACTGTAAACACTTGCTGCCATAACGCTCAGTCCTCACCTAGAAATAGCACCTTCACAAAGGCCACCCAAACACCTCTCCACCAGAGAAAACGTAACGATTCCCAGCCGGAAGGTTTTAGTGTGGGAGAGTTAGGGAGAGTCCAGACTGCCTTTCCGGTTCTACGCTCTGAGTTCACGACTTTGCTTCCTCTTGCCTGGTCTCTGCACTAAGACTGGACTGGGGCTGTGTTCTGTTTCAGCCGGGTCTCAGCGTGGGATCAGGGGTGCGAGGGTGTGACTTCCCCACAGCGCCCCTGCCCAGCTGTGAGAACCTCCAAAGCCGGCCCTCCACTAAGGTAAGTTTTCCCCACTGTTGTCCACTCTTTTCTTCAGACCTCTTATGGCAGCTAGTAGCAAAACGGGTGTGGGATTTTCTGTAGGTTTTTTTTTTTCTTAATGTCCCATTTTCAGTACGGCTGCTTACATTTAAGGTCAACTCTGGCAGAAACAACAGTCAAGTCGTACTCTCACCATTCTTAAGACATCACTGCTCTTTATGTACTGCTGTCAATGTTGTTGTTCTATACTAAAGTTTCATCAGACAGCTTGAGTAAACATGGGTTCCCATTAAGTGACAGAGACCAGTTTAACAATTAGGACAGCTAACAAAAACTCAAGAACCTCTAAAGCTTGCTAAGTGAAAGAAGCCAGACACAGAAGGTTGTGTGTGATGTCATTCAATTTGTATGACATACCCAGCATAGATAAATCCGCAGAAGTCCATGGATTGGTGGATGATGGGGTTGGGGAGAGGCTGCTTGCTTAATGGGTAAGGGATTTTCCTTCGGAGTGATGGGAATGCTTTGGAACTAGATAGATGTGTGGTTCACTCTAAACGTTAACTTGATATCATGTGAATTTCCCCCCAGTGATTTTCAGTGGGCATATTAAAAGGAAGTGATTCAGAGAAAGCAGTGGAGGTCTCAATTGGCTGAGAGTGAGCAGGAAAATTTGAAAAACAGATAGATTTTCCAGCACGGCAATTTTCTCCTAATATCCAGACTTATCCTCTCCAAGAATGATATATTTTTAAACTCTTTTTTATATCATTATCCCAGAATTGTCAGAGAAGGTAGACCCTTTTCGAAAAGATCCAAAGAGAAGAATTCCTTCTCGGAAATGTCTCCACCAACACAGCTGACCATGAAACTACAGGCCGTCGGCCATGGACCGCTTCGTGTGGACCAGCGGCCTCCTGGAGCTCAAGGAGACCCTGGTGATCCAGCAGCGCGGGGTGCAGCGCGGGGTGCGCATCTACGATGGCGAGGAGAAGGTATGGCGGCGGCGGCGGCGGGCCCGGCGTGAGCGGGTCGGCCTGGCTCTGGGTCGTTGGCGAGGCCGGGGCGGGCCTGCGCGTGCGGGGCGCGGCGCTCGGGTCGGTCTCTCCGCCGGCGGCCTGGGGCGCTCGGCGCCTGCCTCTGCCTGCCTCTGCTGGGCCGGGCCGAGCCGACCGCGCGGTGCCCGCCTGCGGAGCGGTTCCCGGGGCCGCGCTCTCGGGTCGGCCCCGTGCCGCCGGTGCTGACGGTGGGTGCGGGCACGCCGACTCCCGCATCTGTCCCCGCAGAGCGGCGGGTGGCCTGGGACGGGATTCCGGAAGAGGCCGCAGGGCCCGCGGCTCGGGTGAGAGAGACAGAGAGAGAGAGAAAGAATGAGTGAATGAATGTCTTCTACTCTGGTTTACTCCGCAAACGTCCGTAACAACTAGGGCTGGGCCAGGCCGAAACCAGGAGCCAGGACCCTCTTCTGGGTCTCCCACACAGGTGCAGGGGCCCAAGGACTTGGACCATCTTTGCTGCTTTCTCAGGCGCATTAGTAGGGAGCTCGATCTGAAGTGGAACAGCCAGGACTTGAATTTGTGCAGGCAGTGGCTTAACTGGTAATGCCACAATGCCCAGCCCTGTCCTCTTCCTCTTTTGAGCCCACCACAGGGTGTGAGGGTGTGTGTGTGTGTGTTTAAAGATTTATTTTTAAGACAGAGAGAAAGAGATTTTCCATCCACCGATTCACTCCCCAAATGGCCTCAATGGCAAGGCTGGTGCCAGGCCAAAGCTTGGACCATCCTCTGCTGCCTTTTCAGGCACACCAGCAGGGAGCTGGATTGGAGGCCCAGCAGCTGGGACTCCAACACGTGCTCATCCTGTGCTGTAGGTTTTTTTTTTTTTTTAAAGGATTTAATTTTTGTTTACTTGAAAGACAGAAAGAGTTACAGAGAGGTAGAGACAGAGAGAGAGAGAGAGAGAGAGAGGCTTCCATCTGATGGTTCACTCCCCAAATGGTTGCAACGGCCAGAGCTGTGCCGATTGGAAGCCAGGAGCCCAGGAGCTTCTTCTGGGTCTCCCGCGCGGGTGCAGGGGCCCAAGGACTTGGGCCGTCTTCCACTGCTATCTCAGGATACAGCAGAGAGCTGGATAGGAAGTGGAGCAGCCGAGACGTGAACCAGCTCCCATATGGGATGCCGGCGCTTCAGGCCAGGGCTTTAACCCACTGCACCACAGCGCTGGCCCCGTAGGTGGTGGTTTCACATGCTGTGCCCGGTGCTGGTCTCTTGGGAGCTCTCCCTGTATTTCTGTCCATTTCTCTTTTCTCCGTGTGTGTGTCTGCCTGTCAAATAAACAAAGAAATTTTAAAGTAAGAAATAGCCTTGGGGCTATAAGCACCAGCTGTGGCTTAGTGGGTAAAGCCACTGCCTGCATGCTGGCATCCCATATGGGTGCCAGTTTTGAGTCCTGGCTGCTGCATTTCCGATCCAGCTCTCTGTTATTGCCCGGGAAAGCAGTGGAAGATGGCCCAAGTCCTTGGGCTCTTGGACCCATGTGGGAGACCCTGAAGAAGCTCCTGGCTCCTGGCTTTGGATTGGCCCAATTCCAGCCCCAAAAGGGGCCGTTTGGGGAGTGAAACAACTGATGGAAGACCTCTCTCTCTCTGCCTCTCCTTCTCTCTGTGTGTCATTCTGCCTTTCAAATAAATAAATAAATCTCCAAAAAAGAAATAGCCTCACCAGCAAATGAAAAACTAAAAAATAACGGTCAAGTAGCAGAAATGAACAGAAATGATAATGTGTAACATAGCTGGGGCTACCTGGCCTGCAAAAGACCAGTTTGCTGGTGACACTTCACTCTGGCTAAATATGTCTCCAATACATAATCGGCTCTAAGAATAGAATCCTAAGGAGGAAAACAGATGGTACTTGCAGACAGTCAAATATTCGTAGCTCATTTACGATTGTAAAATACATAAGCAGGGTCGAAAGCCTGAGGTGGGGGAGGTGCAAGCCACGGATGGGTTTTGTGTGCAGCAATCAACAGATACATTATGGGAGCTCTATGTTGAAATACAGCCTAGAGTAAATTCAGGATGTCTGTATTAATACTGGAAATGTTTAAATGAAAGCGATCTTAGGAGGGAAAAGGAAAAGGAGCACAAGGACTTAACGCAGCTGTATAAAAAAAAAATCGTGCCATCAATTCTCATTTGAAGAAAAAATTATAGCCTTTAATGAAATGACAGGCACCGACAAGAAAACTGCTACGGATACGCAGGCGTAAAGGACAATAAGAAGTCCAAGCTACAGTGTGGGCTCCCTCTACGCTGAGGGCTTAGGATGGGGTGGACCGCGCTGCCCAGCAAGGGTCTAAAAGGCCATTGGCGGACTGACCGCCAGGGGGCGCGACACGCACGCCTCCACGCCCTCGAGCGCCGCACACGCCCCCCCTCCCGTGCCCACCCTCCCTGGAAGGCGACCTCCGCCACGCTCGCCGCCAGGGGGCGCCGCCGTCCGCCTGGCGCAGGACTCGCGGGCCGGGAGCGCCGGCGCCGGCGTAGGCGGGCGGGCTGGCGAGTGGCGGCGGCCGGCTTAGCGTCGGCCATGGACCGCTTCGTGTGGACCAGCGGCCTCCTGGAGCTTAATGAGACCCTGGTGATCCAGCAGCGCGGGGTGCGCATCTACGATGGCGAGGAGAAGGTATGGCGGCGGCGGCGGCGGGCCCGGCGTGAGCGGGTCGGCCTGGCTCTGGGTCGTTGGCGAGGCCGGGGCGGGCCTGCGCGTGCGGGGCGCGGCGCTCGGGTCGGTCTCTCCGCCGGCGGCCTGGGGCGCTCGGCGCCTGCCTCTGCCTGCCTCTGCTGGGCCGGGCCGGGCCGAGCCGACCGCGCGGTGCCCCCCTGCGGAGCGGTTCCCGGGGCCGCGCTCTCGGGTCGGCCCCGTGCCGCCGGTGCTGACGGTGGGTGCGGGCACGCCGACTCCCGCATCTGTCCCCGCAGAGCGGCGGGTGGCCTGGGACGGGATTCCGGAAGAGGCCGCAGGGCCCGCGGCTCGGGTTCTTGTTTGCTGGTTCTGATGTGTGAGTCCTGTAGGGTGGACGGAATGGGAGCCAGTGTGTTGGGTGGTGACGTAGCCAGGTGGTGCCCCCAGGCGTCTCCGGAGCTGCCTTTGCAAAAAGAAATAGAAAGTGTTAGGGAACGATTTCGGTGAAACCACACGACATCCTGGCTTGGGTGGAATGTGTAAACTAGGATGAAGGGGGAAAAGGAAGTTTTTTTCTTAAACCCATTTACCCACGAACACTGGTAGTTTCCGGAAGTGTTGAGCTGCCACTTCTCCTTCCTGGCCGTCTGGTTCGGGAACGTTGTCAGTGTGCTCACATGTCGGTACCTCACGTGGTACCGAAGACATAGCAGTGTGCACATTGGTGTGCAGATCTGGTCAAGTCAGCCTCCCGTCTGGAAGGAGAAGGCTTAGGTACTGCCGTGGAGAATGCTCAGCCTTCAGGGCTTTGCGTCCCAATACGCTCCCTGGACAGACTGTTCATCCTGTCCCTTCTGGCTCATTGTGGGTGTGAAACCCACTTAAAAAAAACCAGAATGACTAAAGTGCCTCGCATGTGCTTGGAGCTTTATATTTATGACCTCATTTATTCCTCACAACAGGTGTACGAGCTGAGCATTTCATTAAGAAAATATCTCTGAGAGATCCAAGGGACTTTCCTAGGATCCACAGAGTAGCAGGCGGGGTGGGACTTAAAGCTGTGTTGTTCACTGGGCCACGGCACTTCAGCGAGAGCAGTCTGCAGTGCCAGATGCCTTTATGTGGCGAATCTGCCGAAAGATGTGGACACAGAGACCTGCGGTGGATAGCTGAGAAAACTGCAAGCCGTCCAGGGCCACACAAGCAGTCATTGGTGGAGCTGCAGTTCCAAGCCAGATCCAGTGGCCTGTGCTCTGTCCACACCCCGGTGCCCCTGGCGAATCAGTGTGTGTGCACTTGTCTGTACAGGCACAGCTTTTGTGGGCCCATTATGCCTGGGTAATGTGTAGTTTCCTTAAGCAGTATAGACAGGTCATTTGTTTCATTCACAGATGCTTCTGTGGCCTCAGCTAATTAGAAAACAATGTGAAGAAGATTAGTAATGCATAATGTGGCAAGTTGGCAGCTTATACCAGATTTACCAAATGTTCTCTTTCAGCTGACTATTTCACTTTTAGGAATTTACCCTTGGGAGAGAGTCAGGGATGCATAAGAAAACTACATTTGAAGATACTCATCTCAGCATTGGCTATAGTGCATGATTGTTACAGTCACATAGATGGGAAAACCAAAGGCAATCTGAATGCCTACTGCAGAGATTGGTTTATTATATTACAGCATGCCCTAGTTAGCATAGGGATTGCTAGTATAGGTTTCTAAGTAATGAAAAAAAAAGCTATAAAACTATAAATATCCTGGTGTACATGCATATAAATATACACTCTGTGTGTGTGTGTGTGTGTGTATATATATATATAAACTCTGGCTTCTATGGATAGGAATGATTTCATTTTCTATTTTAGGCTTTCCTTTAAATGTTTTCCAGATTTGTCAGTAATGAGTATGTATTAATGTCATAAGAAATAACATGAAAAATAAGGTAAGTTATTCAGTGAGTTCCCAAGTTTGATGAACTTCTAAGTAGTTGAAATTATTCTAACTCTGAGTGGTAAAGCAAACCAGCAGTAACTTGTCTGTCAGGCTTAGATCAGAATCCCCTGGAACCCTGAAGGGAACTATTGCACAATCTCTTCACTTATAGCAGCAAGATTTTATGTCTGCATATTGTTAATTGACATAGCAATGGAACAGACTGGTTTGAGCTTGAAATTTACATCCTTCTGCTTGGATTTCAGTAAGATAAAACACAGCACTTCTTAATCAGAACTCATGTTCTAATGCAACATCATGTACTCTCAAATTAATAAAATACTTGCTTTTGGAAAGGGGAATTTTAAAAAATTACGTATTTATTTATTTGAGAGGCAGAGTGAATCAGCAAGCTCCCAACTGCTGGTTCACTTCCCAGTGTCTAGCAATGGCTGGGCCAGCGTGGGAACTGAAGAAAGAAGCTGGTGTCTCAACTTGTGTGGGTGGTGGGAACCCAGTTACTTGAGCCATCACCACTGGCTCCCAGGGACTCTGTTAGCAGGAAGCTGGAGTCAGGAGCTGGAGCTGGGCATCAGACTCAAACAGTCTGATGTGGGAAGTGAGCATCTTAACTGGTAGCCTAACTGCTAGACCAAATGCCTGCTCTATATGATTTTAAACACAGTGGAATCCTGTTATTACTTGTAAGAATTGGACACTCACTAAAATACTTTGCTTAGAGTTTGTCATAAGGTAGTCTTGTAAATGGGACCAGCCTTACAATTTTTGACATAACTAAATACCCCTAGAAAGTATACAAGCACATCTTCTTATGGCAAATGCTAATTTCTGATCATTAGAATTCATAGAAGATAGCAATGCACTCTTGCTTTTCACAGAAATTAAGGAGTTTGATTTATTCTCTTGGGTTCCAACTTAAAAACTTTATTACTTATATAATTTTCAAAGATAGTGACAAATTATGAGAGTTAAAAGTTTGATCCTAAAAACGTTTTTTAACTTTTATTTAATAAATATGAATTTCCAAAGTACAGTGTATGGAGTACAATGGCTTTTCCCCCTATAACTTCCCTCCACCCGCAACCCTCCCATCTCTTGCTCCCTCTCCCATTCAGTTCGCATCAAGATTGATTTTCAATTCTCTTTATATACAGATCAAATATATACTAAAGTATATATTAAGTAAAGATTTCAACAGTTTGCACCCACACCGAAACACAAAGTGTAAAATACTGTTTGAGTACTAGTTATAGCATTAATTCACATTGTACAACACATTAAGAGCAGAGATCCTACATGGGGAGTAAGTGCACAGTGACTCCTGTTGTTGACTTAACAAATTAACACTCTTGTTTATGGCGTCAGTAATCTCCCTAGGCTCTTGTCATGAGTTGTCAAGGCTATGGAAGCCTTTTGAGTTCACCGACTCCTATCTTATTTAGACAAGATCATAGTCAAACTAGAAGTTCTCTCCTCCCTTCAGAGAAAGGTACCTCCTTCTTTGATGGAGCCCAGTTCTTTCTACTGGGATCTCACTCGCAGAGATCTTTTATTTAGGTCATTTTTTTTTTCCTGAGTGTTTTGATCTCCTCATCCAGATACGAATGCTGTAAGGGCTAATTCTGATCCAGAGTGCTGTTTAGGACATCTGTTATTCTATGAGTCTGCTGTGTATCCAGCTTCCCATGTTGCATTGTTCTCTCCTTATTCTATCAGTTAGTATTAGCAGACACTAGTCTTGTTTATGTGATCTCTTTGACTGTTAGACCTATCATTATGATCAATTATGAACTAAAATTGATCACTTGGACTAGTGAGATGGCTTTGGTATATGCCACCTAGAAGGGATTGAATTGGAATCCTCTGGCACGTTTCTAACTCTACCATTAATGTCCCAAATTGTGCCTTTCCTCCCTCTCTTATTCCCATTTTTATATTTAACAGAGATCACTTTTCAGTTAAATTTAAACACCTAAGAATAATTGAGTGTTAATTAGAGTTCAACCAATAGTATTAAGTAGAAGAAAAAAATAGTAAAAGTCATAAAATATTAAGTTGTTCATCGACAATCAGGTCAAAGGCTGATCAAGTCATTGTTTCTCATAGTGTCCATTTCACTTCAACAGGTTTCCTTTTTGGTGCTCGGTTAATTGTCACCGATCAGGGAGAACAGATGATATTTGTCCCTTTGGGACTGGCTGATTTCACTCAGCATGATGTTTTCAGGATTCCTCCATTTTGTTGCAGATGACTGGATTTTTTTTTACTGCTGTATAGTATTCTAAAGAGTACATATCCCATAATTTCTTTATCCAGTCTGCTGTTGATGGGCATTTAGGTTGATTCCAGGTCTTAGCTACTGTGAATTGAGCTGCACTAAACATTAAGGTGCAGACCACTTTTTTGTTTGCCAATTTAATTTCCTTTGGGTAAATTCCAGGGAGTGGGATGGCTGGGTTGTACGGTAGGGTTATATTCGGGTTTCTTAGGAATCTCCAAACTGACTTCCATAGTGGCTTAACCAGTTTGCATTCCAGCCAACAGTGGGTTAGTGTCCCTTTTTCCCCACATCCTCTCCAGCATCTGTTGTTGGTAGATTTCTGAATGTGAGCCATTCTAACTGGGGTGAGGTGAAACCTCTTTGTGGTTTTGATTTGCATTTCCCTGATTGCTAGTGATCCATGTGCCTGTTGGCCATTTGGATTTCTTCTTTTGAAAAATGTCTATTGAGGTCTTTGGCCCGTCTCTTAAGTGGGTTGTTTTGTTGTTGTGGAGTTTCTTGATCTCTTTGTAGATTCTGGTTATTAATCCTTTATCTGTTGCATAGTTTGCAAATATTTTTTCCCATTCTGTCGGTTGCCTCTTCACTTTCCTGTTTCTTTTGCAGTACAGAAACTTCTCAATTTGATGCAATCCCAAATGTTAATTTTGGCTTTGACTGCCTGTGCCTCCAGGGTCTTTTCCAAGAAGTCTTTGCCGGTACCTAAATCTTGCAGGGTTTTTCCAATGTTCTCTATTTTTAAATTTTTTTTATTTATTATTATTTTTTTGACAGGCAGAGTGGACAGTGAGAGAGAGATAGAGACAGAGAGAAAGGTCTTCCTTTTCTGTTGGTTCACCCTCCAATGGCCGCTGCGGCCAGCGCACCACGCTGATCCGAAGGCAGGAGCCAGGTGCTTCTTCTGGTCTCCCATGCAGGTGCAGGGCCCAAGCATTTGGGCCATCCTCCACTGTACTCCTGGGCCACAGCAGAGAGCTGGCCTGGAAGAGGGGCAACCGGGACAGAAACTGGTGCCCCTGCTGGGACTAGAACCCGGGTGCCGGCACTGCAGGTGGAGGATTAGCCTATTGAGCCACAGCGCCAGCCCTCCAATGTTCTCTAATAATTTGATGGTGTTGGGTCATAGATTTAGATCTTTAATCCATGTTGAGTGAATTTTTGTGTAAGGTGAAAGGTAGGGGTCTTGCTTCATGATTCTGCATGTGGAAATCCAGTTTTTCCAGCACCATTTA